AGTGTCAAGCCTAAAACAGAAATACACCGATTTTGAAAGATAAATCTAAATTAAATTACAAGGAAATTAAAAATAGCATTTGATCACGTGAACGTCCAAAAAAAGAAAGTTCTACATTTCAAAACAACATTTGAAAATTCAAAACAATGTTTAAAAGTTCAAAAGAAAGTTCTAAATTTTGAAACATTTGAAAGTTCAGAAGTTCTTAATTTCAAAAGATTGTGAAAATTGAAAAGTTTAAAAGGAAGTTCTAAATTTCAAAACAACGTTTGAAAATGTGAAAGTTCAAAAGAACATTTGGACATTCAAAAGACTGTTAAAGACTATTCAAAAGTTTAAAATAAAGAGAATTTGAGAAATACACTAAAATGTTGATATAATAAAAGCAAACATTTGAGGACATGTCAATACGTTTTCATAAAAAGGTTTGTTGCTGTAGTGTTAATGGTGAGAGAAGATAGCGTGTGAGTGGCTGTAATGCTGTTTAATCCCTGGCACGGCTGGCATGAAGAGGCCAGCAGGTGGCACTAATGTGGTCTGGCATTGGAAGTCTTTCACACACTCTGTGACCCCGCTGAGTCTCTTTGAGCGTGAAAAGAGCCATGCGGTCAGTAAATGAGCCCTGAGCCCACTTTCTGATTCAACACTTTCTATTGTCTCAAGTGATGTCAGTGAAACAACAATAACAGCTAAGCATCAAAATGATGTGCCCTTGAACAAAAACAAATATGCACTTTGCTCATTCATGTGGTTTAATGCAAAATGCAACCCATCATAAATGTATACAAAATACTTTGCTAAGCAAAATAAAAAATGCATTGTTGCATTGCAGTACACTGCGTTTTTTACAGCATAATTTCTCAACGTATAATTTGCTCAGTGTTTTTGGACGTGGATTTCAATGCTCACATCTGTATCTCATGCTGTTAAAATAATCTGTCCGCTCAGAACTGCTTCAGGCAAAGATGACCAAACAGCTGCTCTTCAATCACAAACATCAGACCGAAACACAAGACACCATTGTTCAAAGGACTCACGTTTAAGAGTCAAAGGTGCTCATAAACACTTGAGTCAGCTCTTCTCCTCCTCACATGAGTGTAGTTATTTAGCTGCTCACTTTCATCTGATTCAAGGTGTTCTTTGACTTCAAATGTTAGAAAAAACACTGTTTCTGCAAAACGTGAATACAATGCATTATTGCTAGTGTTCATCAAGGGTTAGTGATATGATCAAACCTATAACACTAGACAGGATTCATTTCATGCTAGACTGGAACAAAGCACCTAACAATACCTTAGCAACTGCATAGCAACTCCCTAGCAACTACCCAACCTACCCTAAAAAAAACACCTAAAACACTATAACAACTGCATAGCAGCTCACTAACAACCACCCAAAATACCAATAAACCACCTAGATCACCACAGCAACTTCATAGCAACTCCCTAACAACTACCTAAATTATCATATAAAGCACCTAGATCACCATAGCAACTACATAGCAACTCCCTAGCAACCACTCAGAACACCTTAGCAATGCAACTACATAGCAACTCCCTACCAACCACCCCAAATACTGTAGCAAACACATAGGACACCATAGCAACTGCATAGCAACTCCCTAACAACCACCCAAATTATCCTACAAACCAGAACACCATAGCAACTGCATTGCAACTCCCAAGCAACCACCCAAAATACCATAGAAATCACCTAGAACACCGTAGCAACTGCATAGCAACTCCCTAACAACCACCCAAATTATCCTACAAACCATAACACCATAGCAACTGCATTGCAACTCCCAAGCAACCACCCAAAATACCATAGAAAACACCTAGAACACCGTAGCAACTGCATAGCAACTCCCTAGAAACCACCCAGAACACCATAGCAATGCAATTGCATAGCAATACCCCAACAACCACCCTAAATAACCCATCAACCACCTTGAACACTATAGCAACTGCATAGCAACTCCTTAGCAACCACCTAGAACACCATAGCAATGAAACTCCATAGCAACTCCCCAACAACCACCCTAAATAACCCATCAACCACCTTGAACACTATAGCAACTGCATAGCAACTCCTTAGCAACCACCTAGAACACCATAGCAATGAAACTCCATAGCAACTCCCCAACAACCACCCTAAATAACCCATCAACCACCTTGAACACTATAGCAACTGCATAGCAACTCCTTAGCAACCACCTAGAACACCATAGCAATGAAACTCCATAGCAACTCCCCAACAACCACCCTAAATAACCCATCAACCACCTTGAACACTATAGCAACTGCATAGCAACTCCTTAGCAACCACCTAGAACACCATAGCAATGAAACTCCATAGCAACTCCCCAACAACCACCCTAAATAACCCATCAACCACCTTGAACACTATAGCAACTGCATAGCAACTCCTTAGCAACCACCTAGAACACCATAGCAATGAAACTCCATAGCAACTCCCCAACAACCACCCTAAATAACCCATCAACCACCTTGAACACTATAGCAACTGCATAGCAACTCCTTAGCAACCACCTAGAACACCATAGCAATGAAACTCCATAGCAACTCCCCAACAACCACCCTAAATAACCCATCAACCACCTTGAACACTATAGCAACTGCATAGCAACTCCTTAGCAACCACCTAGAACACCATAGCAATGAAACTCCATAGCAACTCCCCAACAACCACCCTAAATAACCCATCAACCACCTTGAACACTATAGCAACTGCATAGCAACTCCTTAGCAACCACCTAGAACACCATAGCAATGAAACTCCATAGCAACTCCCCAACAACCACCCTAAATAACCCATCAACCACCTTGAACACTATAGCAACTGCATAGCAACTCCTTAGCAACCACCTAGAACACCATAGCAATGAAACTCCATAGCAACTCCCCAACAACCACCCTAAATAACCCATCAACCACCTTGAACACTATAGCAACTGCATAGCAACTCCTTAGCAACCACCTAGAACACCATAGCAATGAAACTCCATAGCAACTCCCCAACAACCACCCTAAATAACCCATCAACCACCTTGAACACTATAGCAACTGCATAGCAACTCCTTAGCAACCACCTAGAACACCATAGCAATGAAACTCCATAGCAACTCCCCAACAACCACCCTAAATAACCCATCAACCACCTTGAACACTATAGCAACTGCATAGCAACTCCTTAGCAACCACCCAAAATATCCTATGAAGCACCTAGAACATCATAGCAACTGCATAGCAACTCCCTAGCAACCACTCAGAACACCTTAGCAATGCAACTACATAGCAACTCCCTAGCAACCGCCTCATATCCAAGCAACCACCTAGAACACCATAGCAATGCAATTGCATAGCAACACCCCAACTACCACCCACAATACCCCATCAACCACCTAGAACACCATAGCAACTGCAAAGCAACTCCCTAACAACCACTCAGAACACCTTAGCAAAACAACTGTATATCAACTCCCTAACAACCACCCTAAATAACCAATTAACCACCTAGGACACTATAGCAACTCCCTAGCAACCACCCAAAATATCCAAGCAGCCCCCAAGAACACCATAGCAACTTAACCGCATAGCAACTCCATAGCAACCACCTAAAACACCATAGCAACTCCCTAGCAACCACTCAAGATACACCAGCAACCACTTACTTCTCCTTGATAATGTTCATGATGATCTGGTTTCTGAAGGCAGATGATCTTCATCACTCTAAGTCTCGATTCTCGATTCGTTGAGCTTCACCATTCTTTGCTCACTTGCTAGTGGCCATTAAAGAGAGAAATGGATTAGCTGAGGCTCTGGGCAGCAGTTAATCTGCACATGAAAGCAGCCGATGTTCCCATCAATGGCTAAAACTAAACAAAACCGTGTTCTCTTTTGTGGGGCTTCAGCTCAGCTTCTCCACAGGCCTGAAATGCTCCTCTGGACCAAAACCAGCCGTTTGTCTTGAAAGCCCAAGGATTTGTACTTCCTTATCAAAACTCCTGCAGTTAAATATGTGGAGTGTGAGCAGGAGGAAGGTACGGATCCAGCGCTCTGGACGATATATGATGCTTTTAAGACGATGGCTCTGATGAAGATCAGTTCAGAGTGTTTAAAGCTGCCACAGATCTGGACGTGTGTTAGAGACTCTATGTTTAGGAAAGCTCAAATGAATGAGTAAATATTCCTGCTCAGGTTCTGCACACTAATGCACATCAGCTCATTCATCTGTCAGATCTGAGAACAGAGAGTTTAAAACATCAGCATATATCAGACCAGCAGATTCTGATTTTGTACATTATGCCAGTGTGTTTTACCCATAATCCCCATCTGAGCAGAGACGCATCAACCATAATTACTGGACATTACACTTTTTGAGACCTTTTCTGTTTTTATTTTAGTTTTAAAGTTTAAGTTTATTATGTCTAGTTTTTTATTGATTTTTATTTGTTCATTTGTCATTTTGCTGTCTGTCTTAATATGTACATTACGCACACATATATTTAAAATATAACATATGTAACAAATTGTATGTAACAAACAAGTTTAAAGTAATATTAAAGATAAACAAATCAAACCAACAATTAGATAAAAAATTACAGATCTTTAAAAAAATGGCCTATTTTCATGACAAGAGCGGGGTCAAAGAATCAATGTGTCGACCTTAACGACAGTGAGCTGCACAAATATTCCCATAATTCAATTTGAGTCTGTCCAGAGCTGAATGTGGCCCTTGAAAACAACAGAGGTTAATCAAACAAAGACTCGCTGGAGGAGTTCACTTTCGGGACGAGAGAGAAGCGTTTCACCGTTTTGTGTCTGATCTTAGTCTTGAAACTGAGCAAAAATGTGTCCAAAAAGACAAGATACAGTCTTAATGAAATCACACCACAGACTTCTGTTGTTTTTCTGTGAAGCTCATTATAACGACTAACACAAAGCCTACAATGAAACTTGATTTGAACTTGATTTTACCTGTTCAGGATGTGCTCAAAGACAGTTTGTCATGTTTGTGGCCTGCAGATTTTGCTGCTCTCGTGCATGAAGTCATCAAACTCTTCATTCCCACGATCCTTTGCTGTCCAACTGCAGAACTGAAGGAACTAATTTGGCCTGGTGACCCAAAATTCCAGGTGAACTCAATTCCTCAATTCCAGGTGACCCAGGTGAAAACCCAGGTGAAGTAATGTTGCAGTAATGAAAATATGCAGACATATCATTTTCACACACACACAGAGAGAGAGAGACACACACACACACTCTCTCTCTCTCTCTCTCGCTCTCTCTCTCACACACACACACACACACACACACAGAGACACACATGCACTCGCACACACACACAGAGAGAGAGACACACACACACACTCTCTCTCTCTCTCTCTCGCTCTCTCTCTCACACACACACACACACACACACACAGAGACACACATGCACTCGCACACACACACAGAGAGAGAGACACACACACACACTCTCTCTCTCTCTCTCGCTCTCTCTCTCACACACACACACAGAGAGAGAGAGACACACACACACTCTCTCTCTCTCTCTCGCTCTCTCTCTCACACACACACACAGAGAGAGAGAGACACACACACACTCTCTCTCTCTCTCTCGCTCTCTCTCTCACACACACACACAGAGACACACACACACAAACACTCACTCACACACACACACACACACACACATTTACACTCTTAAAAATAAAGGTGCTTAAAAGGCGCTTCACAGCGATGCCATAGAAGAACCATTTTTGGTTCCACAAAGAAGCATTCAGTCAAAGGTTCTTTAAATAAAAATAAAAATAAATAATTCATAAAATTATAATAAAAAACTAAAAATGAAAGCAAACATCTTTCTAATATTCAAAATATAATAAATAATAAAAAAAACTAATACATACAAAAATAATACAATAAAAATAAATAAATAATAAATACAAAAAATGTAATTAAATAAATTAAATAAAAATTAAACCAAGCAACATCTTTCTAAAATTCCAAAAATTAAAATAAGTCATCCTGTACTCAAATTTCTTGTTCATACAGAAATATATAGGCTATATATCAAAATAATAAAAAAAAAAAGATAAATTATTGCTGAAAACAAAAACAAAAAACGTGTTATTATAGGCTAGTTAAATAAAACTAATCAAACTAAAATCATTATTTGAAATCAAACAAAAATTAACTATATATATATATATATATATGTGTCGATTCTTTTGGTTGCTCTTAAAAGCGTTCAAATGGACTTGTTTTTCCATCTGAGTTCCTCTGGTGCTTCTCTGTGTCGTGTCACGATTCGCCGCACGCGTCCAGTGTAGAACCGGAGTCACACTGCTTTGGAGATCTGGATCAAACACTCCTGTGATGTGTGAAAGCTTCTGAAGAAGACAGAGGGAAGATCAGCTTGATAGTTTGGAGATCTTTCGTGTGAGTTTAAAGACATTCATCAACACATCGGGGTGAATTGTGGTGTGAAGATGAGAGAAGAATAAAGCTGTTGCTTTGGCTAGATGATGATTATCTGAACACAAGAATCCCATCATCTGAGCGCTTTATGTTCACAATATATTCTACTGCTGGAAATATAAAATGATTACGCCAATGTCAGCAAATAATTCTGTCATCTTACAGAAGTAAATAGTTTGCAAACAGCATTTCAAGTTGACCAAAAGTCAATGTGAATTTCACTACCAACTAAAGTACTAAATAAATAAATAAATAATATTTATTCAAACAACTGCTTGTCAAATGAATAGTCCCGCCCCCAAACTCACGTGATTGGTTGAGTCGGCCGCTCAATCAGATCAGTGTACAAATAATTCACATAACATCCCAGGCTTTATATATGTTTATTGTTTTGCACATTGGGTATTAACACACTGCGTACATTTTTTTTTTTTTTAATAAAATAAAAGTTCCATGAAGAACTTCCAGCCGACGCGTGATTGATGACACTTCACCTTGTCAAAGGAAAGGTTACGGATCGTGGCAAACAGCCCTAAATTATTTCCTTATGTGCCGCAGCACCAGAGTCTGGACACATTTTCATGTTTGTGTGACATTCACTCGCTCTCTGGAGTCCAAACGAGAAAATGAATCCACCATGTGTCGCGAAGAGGGCCCCATTGATTACAAGCAAGAAGTTACAACAAGTTCAACGCATATAAGAGTTTCTTTGCGTTTCTGTCCATCATGCAATAAAGAGACTTCACAAATATCTTGTTGATTCTTCCATCCGCTGAAGTGGGGTTTAACCTTTAAAAACTTACATCTGTGAATAAAGTTATTTATCAGAAAGTCTAGGTTCTTATCCTTCAACAATACTCCAACTTTAACTGAGAGCACAGTCAAAGGGTGTGGAAACATAGAAAAGGGAGACGCGCATCTACTGATAGAGAAATTAATATCATAATAGACTTGCATGAGAAGCTGTGGGAAATAGTTATTAGATGAGAGCTTAATTAATTGTTATAATTTGTAAACAAAGAAAAATCACAAATGCCTAGAGTGTTATGTTGCCGATATTTCTTGTAGGGTTCAATGCAATATCATTCCCCATTCCTAAAGTCTTCAGATCTTAAGGGTCAAAAAGAAACATGTAAAACATGCAATAAAACCTCTAAAATGAAGCATGAGCGGATGTTATTCTCTCATTTTAAAGTTACTGTCTCCACCTGCTGGTCAATATTCATAAATGCATCTGTTTATTTCTATGTATTTCTGACTTCATATATTTATAAATACAGCAGCTCTATATTTGTTTGAAAAAATTATTTTTCAAAATTGTATATAAAACAAAGATTATTGGAGTACATTTTAAATCTCAGTTTTTCATTTTAATTCAGTGCGTTAATTGCTGTTTCTTTGTAATTGTTTGTGAAATTTACTAGCAAATGCTGATTAAAAATTGTTTCTACACCATTTTTTTTTGTGTATATTAAATATAGTAGTTTGTATTCCACAACTCTTCTAATGCTAGACCCTTTAAGACAGGGTTTGAGGAGCTCAAAGAGCTGTGAGCACATAATGGGAAAAAATTATGAAAAAAAAAGCCCCAAAATGACCAGAAATTAACATTTTTTCCCCAATCCAAACATTCTGAAACACTGACCTCCAGGATGGTGATGAATATACCTGAAGAACATTTCCATTCATCTCAATGAAGCTGATGATCTTCTGCATGCTGTGATCTTTGCTCATCACAGCTCTCTTCCTTTAGACAATATTAGAAAATAGATTGTAATAAGCGGTTTATATGTTATAAAAGTCAGATTGCATAAACATTTGGAATGTTTTTCAATGGAGAAAGATGCTTTTGCCTCCATAATGATGCAGTTATGAATGACATCTGCTTATCGTTAACTAAAACCGTAAAAAAACACAAAATCAACAATAACTGAAATAAAAAAAATGATTTCAGCTGGTTGCTAATACAACATTTCTCATTTTGTTTAGTTTGACAAAGTACTAAAATAACAACTAAACTAATATGATCAAATATATTTTTTAATTATTTACTTTTAATTTTATATATTTATGGTTATACATTTTTTTATATTATTTATTTATATATTTGAAAAAAAGACAAAAGCACAACAAAACTTTAATATTAAAGTGAAAACAGAAAATATAAAAATAGAATCTAATTCAATATGTTAACAAAAACTATATACTAAAGTAACACAGTCATGGATTGTTAAAATACGAAATAAAATAAAATCGTAAAACTAGTTTATTCAATGCTTTATTCATCTGCAACAATGCTCTCTATGAATGATTTTTAGTTTGAGTCTTTTCTCAGCAAATATTGATTAATTATTTGATATTTACACACTAAAAAAATATAACTATAATATAACCTAAATATAAATATAAATATAAATATAACCCAGCGCTGGGTTAAAAAGGGACAAACCCAGCTATTGGGTTGTTTTGACCCAGCGGTTGGGTTGTTTTGACCCAGCTGTTGGGTTGTTTTGACCGAGCTATTGGGTTGTTTTGACCCAGCTGTTGGGTCATTTTGACCCAGCGGTTGGGTCGTTTTAACCCAGCGGCTGGGTTATTTTGACCCAGCTATTGGGTTGTTTTGACCCAGCTTTTGGGTTGTTTTGACCCAGCTATTGGGTTGTTTTGAGTCAAAATAGCTGGGTTTGTCCCTTTTTAACCCAGCGCTGGGTTATATTTAACCCAGCATTTTTTAGAGTGCAGTATTAAATCATCAGCACCATGCAATTAATTTAACTGAAAATTGTAGTTGAATGACTGACCTAATAAAAGTATAGTGTCCATATAGCTACAGAAGTCTTGCGTTGTTTCTCATCACGCTGAACATTTGCAGATTATATTTCATCAATCTACTTTCAAAACATGCAACAATATTCCATTAAAAACAGACAAACCAACCACAATAAACATATTTCCTTTTATTATGAACCCAGCTATTGGGTTGTTTTGACCCAGCGGTTGGGAGTGTCCATATAGCTACAGAAGTCTTGCGTTGTTTCTCATCATTCTGAACATTTGCAGATTATATTTCATCAATCTACTTTCAAAACAGGCAACAATGTTCCATTAAAAACAGACAAACCAACCACAATAAACATATTTCTTTTTATTATGAACCCAGCTATTGGGTTGTTTTGACCCAGCGGTTGGGTTGTTTTGACCCAGCTATTGGGTTGTTTTGACCCAGCCGGAATGCTGAATCCCTGACAATTTTCAAGCGACAGCTGAAAACCCATCTCTTTCGAAGCTACTTGACTTCATCATAAAAAAAAAATAAATAAAAAAAAACTCTCTCTCTTTATTTATTCCTTCTCTTTCTAGCTTGTATTTATTTGAACAATGTCTAAGAACTTGGTATTACAACCACTTCCTGTGTCTGTTTGCCTCTTAAGAAGAATCGCTTTATGTATCCCCCAATTGTAAGTCGCTTTGGATAAAAGCGTCTGCTAAATGACTAAATGTAAATGTAAATGTAAACCCAGCATTTTTTAGAGTGCAGTATTAAATCATCAGCACCATGCAGTTAATTGAACTGAAAATTGTAGTTGAATGACTGACCTAATAAAAGTATAGTGTCCATATAGCTACAGAAGTCTTGCGTTGTTTCTCATCACGCTGAACATTTGCAGATTATATTTCATCAATCTACTTTCAAAACATGCAACAATATTCCATTAAAAACAGACAAACCAACCACAATAAACATATTTCCTTTTATTATGAACCCAGCTATTGGGTTGTTTTGACCCAGCGGTTGGGTTGTTTTGACCCAGCTGTTGGGTTGTTTTGACCGAGCTATTGGGTTGTTTTGACCCAGCTGTTGGGTCATTTTGACCCAGCGGTTGGGTCGTTTTAACCCAGCGGCTGGGTTATTTTGACCCAGCTATTGGGTTGTTTTGACCCAGCTTTTCGGTTGTTTTGACCCAGCGGTTGGGTTGTTTTGACCCAGCTATTGGGTTGTTTTGACCCAGCTATTGGGTTGTTTTGACCCAGCTATTGGGTTGTTTTGACCCAGCTATTGGGTTGTTTTGACCCAGCGGTTGGGTTGTTTTGACCCAGCTATTGGGTTGTTTTGAGTCAAAATAGCTGGGTTTGTCCCTTTTTAACCCAGCGCTGGGTTATATTTAACCCAGCATTTTTTAGAGTGCAGTATTAAATCATCAGCACCATGCAATTAATTGAACTGAAAACTGTAGTTGAATGACTGACCTAATAAAAGTATAGAAAGTATAGTGCTACAGAAGTCTTGCGTTGTTTCTCATCACGCTGAACATTTGCAGATTATATTTCATCAATTTCATCAATAAACATGCAACAATGTTCCATTAAAAACAGACAAACCAACCACAATAAACATATTTCCTTTTATTATGATGATCAGCATTAGTACAGTGCTGTAGATTCCATTACATCCACAAAATCTCATTTACATTTCATTTTTATCGTAGCACCAAAGATTTCATTACAAAACACTGGATACTGAAGAGCAAAGACACTATGAAATAATCTTTGGGTAATCAGTGGAAAACAAGCCTCAAACCATCTGATGTTCACACTTCAAGTATGAATATATATAAGTGTTAATACACAGGTGTAAATGTCTACACGACTCGTGGCACATAGTGCATCATACGGTCCTTTAATTTCTGATACAGACCTCATAGAGTTCAGTCATCTATCAACACGATGATAGTCAAAGGCTGGTTAGCTGCTCGCAGATGATCCGTTATACCATATGTTAACCTAAAACAGGCCTCTTCAAGTTATATTATCTATATTAACACAGATTAAGCATAATTAAGCAGACTTTGGTTGAAAGCGAAAAGTGAGTAGTTAAAACGATTTATACTACATTACATATGCTTGAAATATTCTCCAGCTATTTACAACTAACTCTAGTAGCCTACTGGTTTAAAGCTCATTCAGTAGTTAAAACAGCACCGTTACTCTGTAAACCTCTTGTTAATGACCAATAAATGGCAAAAGATCAATATTTAATAATATTATGATTTTCTTGTCAAATGTATGTACATTTAGTTATGGAATAAATACTGTCAAACATAAATAATGTACAAGACAATCATACGCACGAGTGGTTATGATTATGAGAGGTAGGGTTATGCAGTTTTAATTTGATCTACTTTAATCTTCCCTTCTAATAAAACTGACGTGATGTTTGTCTGTATTAATTCATCTGACTTTAAATTAATTAAGTTAGTCCATTTTATGTCACATGATTTACTTTAGTGACCTGATTTAGCAGGTTATGAAGACTGGAGTAATGATGGTAAAAATTCAGCTTTGCATTAAAGGAATGAATTACATTAGGCTAATATATTCACACAGAAAACAATCATTTTAAATTGTAATAATATTTGATAATTTTTACTGTATTTTCGATCAAATAAATGCAGCCTTGGTGGGCAGAAGAGACTTTCAGAAACATAAAAAAAAAATCTTAACTACCCCAAACTTCTGAATGGTAGTGTATTTGCTTTATAAAAACTGACCGCCAGTGTCAACTAATTCAATTTATTCTGTAAAATAATTGAATTTTGTGACCTGAATTAGGACAGATTTCAGAGGTTAGCTGGTCTTTTTTTGTCGCACTTGTCAAATAGTTGGTCACCTAAACCAGCTTAACCCAGCAAACCACTTTAGGCTGGTTTATTTTAGCACAAATGTTAATGATTGCTTCTGTTTTGAATCAGAATTAGTAACTGTGTAAAATGCAAAAGCTCCATATAGCTACAGAAGTCTTGCGTTGTTTCTCATCACGCTGAACATTTGCAGATTATATTTCATCAATCTACTTTCAAAACATGCAACAATATTCCATTAAAAACAGACAAACCAACCACAATAAACATATTTCCTTTTATTATGATGATCAGCATTAGTACAGTGCTGTAGATTCCATTACATCCACAAAATCTCATTTACATTTCATTTTTATCGTAGCACCAAAGATTTCATTACAAAACACTGGATACTGAAGAGCAAAGACACTATGAAATAATCTTTGGGTAATCAGTGGAAAACAAGCCTCAAACCATCTGATGTTCACACTTCAAGTATGAATATATATAAGTGTTAATACACAGGTGTAAATGTCTACACGACTCGTGGCACATAGTGCATCATACGGTCCTTTAATTTCTGATACAGACCTCATAGAGTTCAGTCATCTATCAACACGATGATAGTCAAAGGCTGGTTAGCTGCTCGCAGATGATCCGTTATACCATATGTTAACCTAAAACAGGCCTCTTCAAGTTATATTATCTATATTAACACAGATTAAGCATAATTAAGCAGACTTTGGTTGAAAGCGAAAAGTGAGTAGTTAAAACGATTTATACTACATTACATATGCTTGAAATATTCTCCAGCTATTTACAACTAACTCTAGTAGCCTACTGGTTTAAAGCTCATTCAGTAGTTAAAACAGCACCGTTACTCTGTAAACCTCTTGTTAATGACCAATAAATGGCAAAAGATCAATATTTAATAATATTATGATTTTCTTGTCAAATGTATGTACATTTAGTTATGGAATAAATACTGTCAAACATAAATAATGTACAAGACAATCATACGCACGAGTGGTTATGATTATGAGAGGTAGGGTTATGCAGTTTTAATTTGATCTACTTTAATCTTCCCTTCTAATAAAACTGACGTGATGTTTGTCTGTATTAATTCATCTGACTTTAAATTAATTAAGTTAGTCCATTTTATGTCACATGATTTACTTTAGTGACCTGATTTAGCAGGTTATGAAGACTGGAGTAATGATGGTAAAAATTCAGCTTTGCATTAAAGGAATGAATTACATTAGGCTAATATATTCACACAGAAAACAATCATTTTAAATTGTAATAATATTTGATAATTTTTACTGTATTTTCGATCAAATAAATGCAGCCTTGGTGGGCAGAAGAGACTTTCAGAAACATAAAAAAAAAATCTTAACTACCCCAAACTTCTGAATGGTAGTGTATTTGCTTTATAAAAACTGACCGCCAGTGTCAACTAATTCAATTTATTCTGTAAAATAATTGAATTTTGTGACCTGAATTAGGACAGATTTCAGAGGTTAGCTGGTCTTTTTTTGTCGCACTTGTCAAATAGTTGGTCACCTAAACCAGCTTAACCCAGCAAACCACTTTAGGCTGGTTTATTTTAGCACAAATGTTAATGATTGCTTCTGTTTTGAATCAGAATTAGTAACTGTGTAAAATGCAAAAGCACATGCAAACGTCATGTTATGAACTCTTTTTAGCACCGTTAACTGATATCAGTATATTATTAAATATTAATAAAATATCATATATATTAACCAGACTAGTTCATAAGGACATCTATGCATTTAGCTGACGCTTTTACCTAAAGCTGAAAACGATCGTCAGGATAAAGAGATTTCAGTAGCGCTCCTTTGCAGTGTTTTCTACCTTCTTCTAGATTGTCAAACCCATTTTAAGCCAGACTTTGATGCAAGACACAAGTTAAACATTCAAATACACAAAACATTCAATTACTTATGTTTTCATATCAAGCAGTTTGCTGTCGTCAAAGTCTTTTGCTCCATATGAAATCAAAAAAATATCTAAAACGTGTTTTACGTGCAGTAGTTCATGTCCTTCTGGAAAAAGAGCAGATCTTTTGGATTATGAAACGCTTTTTAAGTTATTAAATGAATCCCTTTCTGTCAAAACTCTGCCCAAAATGAAGGATTTGACCGTTTGCTACAACTAAAACTAAAAATAAACCCTCAAACGTGCTGTTGTTGCAACCAAACGAGCAGGATTTGCTCATAAATTAATCTAACATTTAATATGGTTGACCAAATGTTGATTCATTTTCACAAGAACACGCGACTACATCCATGTAATGATCATTTCACCCACATTTCCGCATAAAAACGAATCCAATCCGCATCCCGAACCGTCCTGATTCGTGAAGAGACTCGCAGTTATTTGGTTCTTGTAACTTTCGGAAAGTACAGAAGTGGGACGTTTCGTACTTGTTCTGTTTAGCGTAGCTGCCAGACGTGAAAAAAAAAACACGCGAATCAGTCGTGAAGAGTTTTTCTCAAGTTGATTTAGTGGACGTCTTTCTTACTGGATTTTGACAAAAAGGCCTGTATGAGGATGAGGAAGACACTTCCCACAGAAACCGCCACAGCGGCCGTAGATTCTGCTACCGTCCTGCAACAATACAACACAACGATGATTAAATCACTGCGTACAATAATAATTATTATAATAATCAGTGTTGGGGGAAGTTACTTTTAAAAGTAATGCGTTACAATCAGTTTTGGGGGTAACACATTACAAGTAACGCGAGTTACGTAATCAGATTACTTTTTTAAAAGTAACTAGTAAAGTACCACATTACATTTTAATTAAATAGAAGGAAATATCAGAGTTACTTTTTCAAATAAGTAACAGTTACTTTGTTTCTCATGCATTGACTGACAGCTCTGGTGTTGCCGTGGTGACAGAAATCAGGAGTAAGTGCAGAGCGTACAGTAAGAACATGATCTTACTGTAGTTATGTATTTATTCATCTCACTGCACAAAAACAGATTCAATGTTCCTCAAAGTGAATAAAAACAGTCAAGTGCAAACTCAGGATATGAGGCAAACCTGCTATAATTAAATGTGTTAAATAAGACTATATAATTTATGTATTTAATCCCATTTTATTAACCAATGTCTTTGCTGCTGACCTTCGATGATCCAATTCAACCATACTAAGCAAAAATCACACATTTGAGTTTCATTGTTGTTATTGCTGAATAGTGTTTAACTTTTCTGAAACTTCTCCTGCGTCGTATTCTTCATGTGATGTGTTTACTGTTACCTCTACTGTACAGACATGAGATTACATTTCCTTCAGCCTGAGGCGCAATCATTTCACTTTTGGTGTGAAAAGGCTTTTATATTTATAAAGAAGGAACTTTTTTATATTAAAAACAAGCAAGCAAGCCCTGCCCAGATTTAAAAAGTAACTCAAAAGTAACGTAACGCATTACTTTCCATAAGAAGTAACAAAGTAATGTAATTAGTTACTTTTTTTTAGGGAGTAACGCAATATTGTAATGCTTTGCTTTTAAAAGTAACTTTCCCCAACACTGGTTGCAATATTGTGTTACTCCCTAAAAAGTAACTAATTACGTTACTTAGTTACCTTTTATGGGAATTAACACAAGTTACGTTACTTTTGCGTTACTTTTAAAATCTGGGCAGGGCTTGATTGTTTGTTTTTAATATATAAAAACAATATATATTGTATTTTTGGCAAATGTAAAAGCGGTTTTACACCAAAAGGGAAATGAATAAGCCTCGGGCTGAAGAAAATGCATATTCGCATCTGTACAGTAGAAAGTTCAACACTCTTGTTTATCTAAAGTTAGGATGGTCGAATTAGATCATTGAAGGTCAGCGGCAAAGACGCTGGATAATAAAATGGGATTAAATAGATAAAATATATTTGTCTTATTTAACACATTTAATTATTGCAGGTTTACCTCATATCCTGAGTTTGCACTTGACTGTTTTTATTCATTTTGAGGAACACTGAATCTGTTTTTGTGCAGTGAGATGAATAAATACATAACTACAGTAAGATCATGTTCTTACTGTACGCTCTGCACTTACTCCTGATTTCTGTCACCACGGCAACACCAGAGCTGTCAGCCAATACATGAGAAACAAAGTAGCTAACTTGCGTTACTTATTTGAAAAAGTAACTCAGATATTTTCTAATAAATTAAAAAGTAATGTGTTACTTTACTAGTTACTTAAAAAAGTAATCTGATTACGTAACGCGTTACTTGTAATGTGCTACCCCCAACACTGATAATAATAATAATAATAATAATAATAATCCACGTCCTCACGTCTGACCGGTGAACTTTGACCGTGACGTAGTTGCCTTGGGAAACCCATTTAGTGGATTCTGCGACCTTCAGTCCTGTTCCACTGAGATTTATACTAAACTGACCCTAAACAATCAGAGAAGAGAGAGATTATTAGTGCATTACATAAAAATTAATTATTAAAACAATCTCTAAAAAGTAAGGTCAATAACTGGTTTGTTTGATTTTTTGAAAGAAATAATAATTTTATTCAGCAAGGACACATTAAATTGATCAAAAGTGGGAGTAAATGCATTTATATAATTCCAAAAGGTTTCTATTTCTAACAAATGCTGTTCTTTTGAACTTTCTATTCATCTTTGAATCCTGAAAAATTAAATGTATCACGGTTTCCACAAAAATATTGGGCAGCACAGCTGTTTTCAGCATTGATAATAATCAGAAATGTTTCTTGAGCAGCAAATCAGCATATTAGAATGATTTCTGAAGATCATGTGACACTGAAGACTGGAGTAACGATGCTGAAAATTCAGCTGCGCATCACAGAAATAAATTACAGTTTAACACATATTCACATATAAAGCAGTTATTTTAAATTCTAATAATATTTCACATTTTTACTGTATTTTTGATCAAATAAATGCAGCACTTTTGAGCAGAAGAGACTTCTTTCGGAAACATCTTGAGACTTGATTTGATCCACTGACTCTGTGATTGGACTGGTGTTTCTAAACATCTAGTCATCTAGGACCTATAATGATGTTACCTGAGGACATTTAGCGGCGCTGTAACAGTCTCCTGCGGACGCAAACGGGACGGAGCGACCAAACAACGTCTGACTGAACTTCAAATCAGTCGCTGAAACACAATTAAACAATCCAATGAGAATAAGATGAAACTCAACATGACGGTGAAACAGCAAGTCAGTCAGGACAAAACTGCTGTTTACAGAAGTGCATTCGCCAACAGTTCACAACAAGGTTTAATTTGTTAACATTAATTAAAAATGCACAATAAGCTAACAGAATTTATTAATCTTCAAATGTATTTCCACTAATACGTTTAAAATTAAAAGCTGTATCAGCTAACATTAGTTAATGCACTGTATAAATTATAATATAAATTACAATAATTATAATTTATATTAAAAATAGTGAAATAAATGTTTTTTTATTATTTTACAAATTTATTTATATAAATGTATTTTTATTAATAAAAATAATTTATATTTACATAAAATATATTTATAGTTTTATTTGTATTATTGCTAAATGTCATATGTTCACGTTAGCTAATGCATTAACAAATCAGACCTTACTGTAAAATATTACTGTATATTTTGCATGAACGTTGCGAGGTAAACGACTCACGGATGATGCACATGCTGGAAAGATCGAGCCGTACGCGGTGAAAGACGGTGTAACCGGCCGCAGTGTAATCGTTCCTGCAGGCGCAGTCCTGCCGCCGACTGCCGTTATACGGACATTCAAAGGGGTTCTGCAGCCTGGAAATATGATTCAAGAGAAATGCAGATTATACATATATGTGACCATGGACCACAAAACCAGTCATAGGGTTCAATTTTGAATGAAAGCTGAATAAATAAGCTTTCCATTGATGTATGGTTTGTTAGGATAGGACAATATTTGGGTGCAAAAAAATCAAAATATTGAGAAAATCATCTTTAAAGTTGTCCAAATTAAGTTCTTAGCAATACATATTACTAATCAAAAATTAAGTTTTGGACATTTACAAAATATCTTCATGGAACATGATCTTTACTTAATATCCTAATGATTTTTGGCATAAAAGAAAAATTGATCATTTTGACCCATACAATGTATTGTTGGCTATTGCTACAAATATACCCCAGCGACTTAAGACTGCTTTTGTGCTGCAGGGTCACATAGGTATATACATAGGTATATATTTCATTCAGTACTGGAAGTGTCCATAAAAAGAGTTTGATCTTTTTAAAAATGATTTTTTTTTTTTACCCTATGTGTGTGTGTGTGTTTTCATGCTTCTTGAAATATCAAAACATTAGTTTAGCAACATGTTAACATCAGACTTTGACCCTGGAACAGAGTTGTGATATTTTTGAAAGAAGTCTCTTCTGTTCATTAAGGCTGCATTTATTTGATAAAAATACAGTAAAAATTGTGAAATATTATTATAATGTAAAATAACTGTTTTCTATGTGAAGTATTTTCTAACATTAAAATTTCTCTACTGTCACTTTGATGAATAAAAATATTAGTTCCCTTTCAGTCAGTCACTCTCGACGTCACGTCGGATGACCGACGAATTGGGATCTCGCTTAGAGAGATTTTTCCCCTAAAAGAGCAAATTTCGGGTGCGTCTTTTTAAAGATGACGTTGCATGGCAAACTTGACGTTACATCTTTGTAAAGACGATGTGGGTCTTGCTATAGACAACGTATCACCCGGGCGTTTCTGGATTCGGTCGTTACCTGGTGCTGGGTGATGGTCACGATCGCTGTCTCACGTGCCTGGGCATGTAGCACGCTGAGGTGGCGTTTGTGGATGAGTCATCTTCTCATTGCGGGAAGATGATCATCTCGGAGTCGCGGGCCAAGCTCCGTTTCCTCAAGGGGCGGACAGGGAACGAGGGTTACCATACGTAACCGAGACGTTTCTTAGTTATCCCAAACTTTTGAATGGTAGTGTATCACTGTTTCTACAAAAATATGTTTTCAACATTGATAATAATCAGAAATGTTTCTTGAGCAGCAAATCAGCTTTCAGATTTCTGAAGATCATGTGACACTGAAGACTGGAGTAATGATGCTGAAAATACAGCTTTGATCACAGAAATAAATTACAGTTTAACAGATATTCACATAGAAAACAGCTGTTTTACACTTTAATAATATTTCACAATTTTCACTGTATTTTTGATCAAATAAATGCAGCCTGGGTGAGCAGAAGAGACTTTCAGTCATTATTGCACTGGTTTGTCACTGAAGGCGTGTCTCTGTACCTGTATCTGTACACCTCAGAGTAATTGTCGGTCTGGCCGCTGGGCAGGGTCACGTACTCTTTGGGGAAACCGCTCTGCATCTCGGCGCAGTAGATCTGCAGGATCTTGGCTTGGACTTTGATGTAATGCTCTCCATCTTTCTGAACGCCTCCCTTCACCTGAACTTCTCGACAGCTCGTGTGCAGCTCACCTGATCAGAGAAACACGTCAGCGCTTCTGCAGGCTTCACACACTCAAGACCTTTCTAAGAGCAAGTAATGGAAACACAACAGCTGGATTATTACCGTTAACTAAAACTGAAAATACACGGCAAAAAAAAGTGCTTTTGTCTTGTTTTCCAGTACAAATATCTAAAACATTCTTAAGATGCATTTCCTTGAGATGCAAAATGAATGAAGATATCAATTCTTGTTTTCTGAAGAATTATCAAACTGAAGTGAGTTTATGCCTAAAATAATAACACATCTGTCAATGAGGTCAGAAAAACAAACTTAATCTTCATTTCTGTCATGACAACTCTCGGAGGGATTGGCATGGTAATGTACATGACAATGTTAATGTATTTGTGACCCTGGAGCACAAAAGCAGTCTTAAGTCGCTGGGGTATATTTGTAGCAATAGCCACCAATACATTGTATGGGTCAAAATTATAGATTTTTCTTTTATGCCACAAATCATTAGGATATTAAGTAAAGATCATGTTCCATGAAGATATTTTGTAAATTTCCTACCGTAAATATATCAAAACTTAATTTTTGATTAGTAATATGCATTGCTAAGAACTTCATTTGAACAACTTTAAAGATGATTTTCTCAATATTTAGATTTTTTTGCACCCTCAGAATCCAGATTTTCAAATAGTTGTATCTCAGCCAAATATTGTCCTATCCTAACAAACCATACATCAATGGAAAGCTTATTTATTCAGCTTTCAGATGGTGTATAAATCTTAATTTCAAAAAATTGACACTTAAGACTAGTTTTGTGGTCCAGGGTCACATTTGGTCTTGGCGGAATAGATCTGCTACGCTGCTGCTGCTGCAGAGCAAGTACCGAGACATGCTACTGCCAATACATCCACAACATGCTGCTGTGAGCATTTAAGAAATACTGCTGCTGCACATATAACATACATGAAATAACCCCCATATAGCGTACATGAATCACCTCGTAGCAGATCTATACAGGTGGAGCTGGGGAAGGTGGAGGGTTTCTGAAGCAAGCTGCACTGCTACAGCAAGCACTAGTCATATATTTGAATGTTAAGCAGCAAGCTCATTGGCTACCAATACAGGAGAGAACCAATCAGCTGTGCCATGTGATAATGATGTCATTAGGTCAGATTGAGTTAGACCTATCGGACTGCGCCATCTAGAGTTTCATGCCAGAACTCTGTATTTGTCTTTTTTTTGTTTTAAATATCGCAGGGTTAATAAATGCTGTAGAAGTATTGTTTAACGTTAGTTCATGTTAACTTATTGTAAAGTGTTACCATTTTTCCAGTGTAATATTTAATGCCATGACTTTATGAATTCAAGACTTTCTGTTTCAGTTTAAGACCTTTTTAAGAGGAAATAAAGAGCCCCGGACAGCCTGAATATTAACTCACAGTCGGTCTGTCTGCAGGTGGCGTGTGTCTCCGGCCGGCTGGACAGCGGGCAGCTCTGAGACGGGAGGTTTTGAGCGCTGAGACACTGGACCGTCCTGTGCATGACTCCAGCGCCGCACGTCTGAGAACACTAGCAACAGCACACACAAAACCAGCTCACTTCACTGCACTGCACATCATACCAGCGTTTGTCTTCATCAGCGTTCTTACACCTTTTACAAACTCAAGTTCAAGCACTTTCAAGCTTTTCCAGCACTTTAAACTGTGGTAAATTACATAACACATACACACTTGAGTTCTTCACTTTAAATCAGATGTTATTGTGCTATTAAAAACCACTGGTCTGGATTGCATATAACATTGCATAATATAAATAGCCAACATAAAGTGTATAAATTATAAAAGAAAGAAAGAATTTACAGGGTATCTTTTAAGACCTGATCAAATAAAATAAAGACTATGAGTGGGGTAGGGCAATGTCTATGGCAACAAATTAAATCATAAAATGCATGCAAAAAACATTATTTGCAGTTCAATATCAGGTTTTCACAAACAGAGCGAGTTTTATAAAGTGACAAACCTCACATTTCAGCCTTTAAAATATTTTAAAGAAATAAAGTCCAAAGTATAAACAATTATGCTGTTTCTCAGCGGCTCTGCTGAAAGAGGATGAATTTGCATTTTCAATAAGCCCGTCTGCTGTTTTTGTTCAGAACAAAAAGCTAATGTGCCTTCAAAAATCAAAAAAATGTAGACAGTAAGATGTGTGTATTTTAAATAATTCTTTACACTTTTGACTCATCCCTTTTCTTTATTTCTTAAAAAATAGTTGAAAGGCTACAATATGAGGTTCTTTTGGAACTGCAAAAACGTACAGCGGTTTCCCGGTAACGGCTGTGCTCACAAATGCTACTTTATCAGACATACGTTGGTGAAATTAAATAAAAATGCCATTGAAGCTTCTCTGAAGGCCGTCGGTTCACTTCAGAGATGCATTAATATAAAAACATTCACGCTGCGTTTTGACTTTGAAATGTTTATTATTTGACTTTAATCGCGATAGTCTTAACATATTTAGTTTAACTGAGCAGGGGCATTTTTGTTACCTTTTACACGGCTTGAAAGCCGTTAAGACACAGTCTTAACATGGTGGCTAAGTTTATGCAACTGGCCCCTGGTTGTTTCAATAAGTTTTGTATTTAATTTACAGTAAAATATCTGAGTTACATTTTCAAATAAGTAACGCAAGTTACTTTGTCTCCATGTATTGACTGACAGCTCTAGAGTTGCCGTGGTGACAGAAATCAGGAGTAAGTGCAGAGCGTTGTGTGACACTCACACACACGCACTCACACACTCACACGCACACACACGCGCACACACACACACACGCACACACACACACACACACACACCTTGCTCCACGGCCCGGCGCTCCAGCGGCCCGCAGACGGACACTCAGACAGGACACACGGCCTGCTGTCAGCCGGCGGGCGCTCGATGCAGTCGGAGGGAGATGCGTGTGAATACGTCTGCAGGTCAGAGGTCACAGCAGAGCAGTGCAGCGCCCTCCGCTGGAGTCCAGAGCCACAGCTCACCGAGCACTGAAACACACACAGCACTCATTCAGATTCAGTTACTTTACATTTATTTGATGCCATGTCAGCAGCAGCGGCTATATCAATTAATATCCTTTCAAAATAATGTTCACAATAATTTAACAATTTTGTCTTAAAAAGACAACACACAAAATAATAATATGTGAGCCTGGAGCACAAAAGCAGTGTTAAGTCGCTGGGGTATATTTGTAGCAATAGCCAACAATACATTGTATGAGTCAAAATTATCGATTTTTATTTTATGCCAAAAATCATTAGAATATTAAGTAAAGATCATGTTCCATGAAGATATTTTGTAAATTTCCTACACTTAATTTGGACAACTTTAAAGATGATTTTCCCAATATTTAGATTTGTTTGCACCCTCAGATTCCAGATTTTCAAATAGTTGTATCTCAGCCAAATATTGTCATATCCTATTTCAAAAAATGTACCCTTATGACTGGTTTTGTGCTCCAGAGTCACATATAAACTTAAATAACAATAACAAAAATAATAGCAATGACAATTATAGAGTCTTTGAACTTACTATACGACAAGAATTCTAATTTTATTTCAGGAGAAACCTTTTTAAAATGTAAATACCATATATTTTCTGAATAAAAACGTGAATGCATTCATTATTCACTTACAAACATTTACATGTGGATTAATGCTTCTCATCACCTGAGAAAACTCACGTTTCAACATGAGTTTAGGAGGCAAACATAAAGCATCCATGAATTTCAAACACTAATGCTCTTATCATTTAAAAAATATATATTATTCTTTAAAAAAACATTTATTATTATTATTATAACTTTTTTTGCATGTGAATTGAAGTGGAAAGGAAGGAATTGATTTTCAAGTGAATTTCTTTCTTTTTCTTTTTCTTTTTCTTTCTTTCTTTTTCTTTCTTTCTTTCTTTCTTTCTTTCTTGTGAATTGGAACAGCAAGTGAAGAAATTTCAGTATGTATCTATGCATATATTTATTTATTTATGGAAATTGGAGCAGGGAGTCAAGGGACTTATTTCTTCATTCATTAATTTATTAATTATGTGATTTGGTGCAGCAAGTTACGGAATTTCATTGCTTTAATAAATATGTATTTATTCATTTTATGTGAATTGGAACAGCTAGTAAATGAATGAATTTATTTATTTGTATGTGAATTGGAACAGCTGGTAAATGAATTTATTTATTTATTTATTTTTTTTTTTTTTTTTTCAGCTGGTAATTTATTTATTTTTTTTTATGTGAATTGGAACAGCTGGTAAATTAATTAATTAATTAATTAATTTATTTATTTATTTTTATGTGAATTGGAACAGCTGGTAAATGAATTTATTTATTTATTTATTTTTATGTGAATTGGAACAGCTGGTAAATTAATGTATTTATTTATTTATTTTTATGTGAATTGGAACAGCTGGTAAATGAATAAATTAATTAATTAATTCCCCAAAATGTGAATTGGAACAGCTAGTAAATGAATGTATTTATTTATTTATTGTTTTATTTATGTTTTATGTGAATTGGAGAAGCAAGTAAAGGAATTTCATTATTTTAATATTTATTTATTTTTTATTTTATATTATTATTATTATTATTATTATTTAATGTGAACTGGAGCAGAAAGTGAAGGAAAAGCAGTCGCTCCATCAATCCAGCTCCTCCCTGTGATAGTTTATGAGGTCAGTATTGTTCTCTGAGGAGGTGTGTGGAGACTGCAGATGCACCTGACTCCATGCGGTGCTGATCCAGATGTACAGGCAGGTGGCGCTGTGACACGGCTCGTGTGTGTGGGGTTTGAGAGAAGCGTCACACATGCTCTCCGGAGCCGCCTTCATCCCGCCGTCCACACAAAACACAGATCTGGACCTCACGCCGCGGCCACAGCTCGCGCTACACTGGACACACACACATCAAAGCCACAAATGTTTTACTAATCTTCCCTCAAATAATAATAACTTTCTCCGTATAAAATGACTTGTTGTGAATGTTGTGGGCAGGGAAATATTAATTATTACTAAATGATTTACAGTGGAGGGGGCAGTACAGCTCATAAACAACAACCGTATTTGACCGTTTGGAAAGACGGAGGGACACAAATCACACAGATTACATTCAGACACAAGAAGAAGAAGCCATAAACACAGAGTTCAGCCCCAAAGAACACCAAAATCAAGAAATATTCCTGCTTTAGGACCACTGGGTTTTAGCAGGAAATTAATGAGTACTAATAATAGGCTTTGTTTTTATCATGCAAATTTTTTAAATATTATTCTTCAGATTTTGAGGTGAAATGGGACATTTATTCTTGATTCTTCATCATTATATTAAAATAAAATAAAATTCATTTTTCTCTGATTGTGACTTGGGATTTTTGTATAAAAGTCTCTTACGTATAAGTACAATGTGTTCATTTGCTAATAAAATAAAACAATTACAGCTTTTTCTATTTGTGACATATGACATATTATTGGCTTTTTTTGTTGTTGCATGAATATAAAGTGCTAATATAGGCTTTTTGTTGTTTTTTATTTTTCTTAACTTTTAAAAAATATTTATTTTCTGATTTTGGTGAGACATTTATTCTTGATAAAATAAAATAAAATAAAATAATTTTATTGCCATTTTTTGTATAAAAATTGTTATGTATAAGTACTATGTGTTCATTTACTATTAATTAAAACTAAACTAAAATAATAAAATTTAAAAAAACAATTACATCTTTTTCTATTTGTGACATATGACATATTATTGGCTTTTTTTTTGTTGCATGAAAGTAAAGTCCTAATATAGGCTTTGCTTTATTTTTAATTATATATATATAAAATTAAATTAAATTAAATACCGCCTTCTCTCATTGTGACATGCAGCATAACTTATATTTGCCATTTGTATCAAAATATCATATGTATATGAACTGTGTGGTCATTTACTAAAAATAAAATTATACTAAAAATAAAATATAACATTTTAAATAAATGTTTTTTTTAGTTTCTCTGATTTTGACTTTCTTACTAGCATTTTTTTTTTGTATAAAAGTATCTCGTATTAAGTACTATGTGTTTATTCACTATTAATAAAGCAAAATAAAAGCAAAAATAATAAAACAAATGTAACAAAAAAAACAAACAAACGTGGGAGCCCAGTTTAACCATGCTGATTTTAGCTGTGCTGACATCTAGGTAACAGCTCTAGTGTAATGAAGTACATCAGTCGATGGTGTTTTACTCACGTCCTTCCAGTCGTGTGTTGTCCAGCTGTGCGTCTGGCAGTCGGTGTGGAAGCAGGAGCGGAGGCGATCGGGACGCACTCGCGCGTAACACAGCTCATCAGAGACGTGACCTTTGCCCTTTGACCTGCAGAAGACCTCGCGCGACTGAAGGCCAGCGCCGCAGCTCGCCGAACACTGCACACAAACGCATGGAAACACACCTCTTTATTAGCCATTACATGCTGAGTTTATATCTGGAGCTGATCTGAATTAACACTCGCCGCATTTTGACTTGGAAGAGATACGTACTAATTTCTAGAAACTGCATAGTTTTTTTTGTAAGGGAATGAAACTTTGCGAGTGTTTTAAGACCCTCAAAAAACATCTCATTTACTTATTAATTTTTTTCAGATTTTTTGCAATTATTTTTTAAGAGATATAACATGTTTCATATTCGGGTCATTTTTGACCCGGGTATGTATGGAGCACCATTAGGTGCCAAACATACTTATCAGTGAAGTTATTTTAGTGTCTAAAAACTTTTGTAAAATATATTTAGCCTTTTTGTCCATACCTCACACAGTTTTCGGACTGAATTTTGTTGATAAATATGAATAGTGTACGTCTTTTGATGAACCACTGCAGCGTGAAAAGCTGATCACTTTTTTATCTGAAAGTGAAAGTTTATACAAATAATTAATTTGTATAAAACATTATACAAATAAAATGAATTCATTATGTTTGAAAACTTTTCTGAGTAATATTTATGTTGTTTTGTTAGAAATAAATAGGTAAGTTTCATAAAATAAAATAATTTTTGAGTTATAAATTCAAAGGAATTAAATTAAATTAATGCAGTTAATACTGGTAATTCTCAGAAATTTTATGTTTTTTTTATAAATTTCATACAATCATATAATTAAATAAAAGTTGTATGTGTGTGTATGTATGTATATATATATATATATATATATATATTTCAGCAATTTTTTTTTTATTTCAGTTATTTATTTTTATTTAATTATTCAATTTATTTAATTTTATTTAATTTTAATTTATATAATTAATCAAAAAAGCAATAACATGGTAATAACATGGTAACAATCAAAACTTTTAATTTTCCACATTCACTCATTAAAGGGTTAGTTCACCCAAAAATGAAAATTAGCCCATAAATTACTCCCCCTCAAGTCATCCTAGATGTGTATGACTTTCTTCTTTCAGACGAATCCAGTCGGAGTTATATTAAAAATGGAACGCGGAAGCGCAGGGGAGAGATCAAAACAAAACAACGGTCACTTATTAGAAGTACAAAACGAGGATTTGTAAAGAAGAATGTCGGAGGATTTCGATATAAGCCAAGAGGAGACTGGTTTTCCTTTGCTAAAGTAAGGAAACTTTGCTTCCTTTGCTCCTGTTAACAAACGTTGGTTTTCACGAGACTCACCGGCGCATGTGCAGCGCTGAACTCATACGTCATTCCCCTGGAACTGCTTCCAGCAGGCCTTTGTTCACCCCCCAGAGCCGTGTGAGACACTTTTTTCATGGATGGGCGCTTTTTATTTAACTTCTTTTGGACTGATGCAATGCAACACCCGCTGAGTGACATTAAACAGCTTGAAAGATCAAAAAACATTTTTAATATAACTCCAACTGGATTCGTCTGAAAGAAGAAAGTCATATACACCTAGGATGACTTGAGGGGGAGTAATTTATGGGCTAATTTTCATTTTTGGCTGAACTAACCCTTTAATAAGAAATTGCGGTTACACTTTATTTTAAGGTGTCCTTGTTCCAGTGTAATTATACATTTAAGTACTGAGTAATATTAATTAACTACAAGTACTTACTATATGGTTAGGATTAGGGTTTGGCCTAGGGTTACTTGCATGTAATTAGGCATAATTTATTATTATTATAATATTAAGTACATGTAATGTGTAACAATAACACCTTAAAATAAAGTGTTACCAAAATTGCTGATCAGATGCAATATGGTATTAGTATGATAAAAAAGACTGTTTTATGCAACAATGACTCTTGGGGTGGAATGCATTGATGATTAGAGCAGTGTGTGTGTTTGAGAGGCGCTGTGTTCAGATATAAAGCATGTCTTTCCGCTGCGCTGGCGGATTTCATGCTCTATGCAGGCCTGTGAGACGAGCTGATTGCTTCCAGACGCAGAGGGGGATGATGGGGAATCGTGACGGGGTTCGGGGGTAAAGCCGGGGCAGGAGTGAGTGTAGACAGTGTTGGGGAAAGGTACTTTTAAAAGTAATGCAATACAATATTGCGTTACTCCCTAAAAAAAGTAACTAATTACATTACTTTGTTACTTTTTATGGAAAGTAATGCGTTACGTTACTTTTGGGAATACATTGGAAACAAAGTACCTGGCGTTACTTATTTGACAAAGTAACTCAGATATTTCCTTCTATTTAATTAAAAAGTAATGCGTTACTTTACTAGTTACTTTTAAAAAGTAATCTGATTATGTAGCTCGCGTTACTTGTAATGCGTTACCCCCAAAACTGGGTGTAGAGGTGGGAAGCCCCGGGACGGCCCGGTCAGACGATCAGACGAGTGATTGGATCTGACCGCAACCAAGGGTGTAGTTTTGGTTTGAACACTGGCGGGTTGAAGTGTGAACTGTTTTAGTGGAGTCCTGGGTCATGCTCCCTCATAAGCTTTATTTTATTTGTTTGCTAATATGTTTTTTTTTTTGTAAAATGGTCTTTTGTGCTATCATCTGCACATGCAAGGTTGGTTGATAACCAATTACTGTTAACTGTTAACTGGACCACAAAACCAGTCATAAGGGCATATTTTTTCAATCTGGAAGCTGAATAAATAAACTTCCATCCATTGATGTATTGTTTGTTATGATAGGACAATATTTGGCTGAGATACAACTATTTGAAAATCTGGAATCTGAGGTTTTCAAACAAATCAATTAGCAATTAGCAATGCATATTACTAATCAAAAATTAAGTTTTTATATATTAGGAAGGAAATTTACAGAATATCTTAATGGAACATGATCTTTACTTAATATCCTAATGATTTTTGGCATAAAATAAAAATCTATAATTTTGACCCATACAATGTATTGTTGGCTATTGCTACAAATATACCCCAGCGACTTAACACTGCTTTTGTGCTCCAGGGTCACATATAATGTATTTTATATTATTAAGCCCCTTTATAGGCTATAGTTTGAGAGAACGTTCTAGTTCAACATGCCATGGGAAGTCAATCTAACTTAACATTTTCTTACATTGATATTGTTTATTTCTCACTCCTTAACAGTTCATCAGGCTCTTAATGATTTCATCTTTGCCATCTCTTGGAATATCTGAAGGCCAGGTTTTTCCATCACTCGAACCCGTTTTACACACAGCTCTTGATTCTGACTTGTACTTGTTCTTATGAGTTCTTAACTGTAGCATTTGTTATAATAAGGCTAGCATTACCAGGCCAATAATGACTTATTTAAAAAAAAATAAATCTATATAGCATTTGTTATGAACAGCCTGCACATTTAGAAACAAAAGCTACAACATGCCACAGTTGTAATATAAATCTATACCCTTAACAGATTGTCTATTATAAATTCTACAACAAGTTAGACACAATTTACAACAATATTGGTATATTTTGTATAAAAGTATCTAATGTGGCAGTACTGTTTGTTATTTTACTAATAAAATTAAATAGAAAAAAAGATGATTATTGACATAACATTTTTTTTTTAATTAAAAAATTATTGGTATTTTTAGTATAAAAGTACCTTATGTAGGAGTGCTGTGTGTTCATTATTAATAATAATAATAATGATGAAAAAGCCAATTCCAGGAAGTGATGTCACATACCGCTCTCCACCGATTGGCTCTCCAGGAGGGGCAGGGTCCGGCCCGACAGGCCTTCTGTGTTCTGGGTGGGATGAGATGAGCGCAGCTGTGCTCCTGGATCTGGGTTTGGTTCTGATCGACGCAGACGATCTGCCGCTCTTTGATTCCCTTCCCGCAGGACACCGAGCACTGCAGACACGAGAACGACAGACCAGACCGTCAGGAAAACCACCCACAATCATCTGGAAGCACTAACACAGAGAAACACGCTCACACGGTTTAGGCCGGACAGATATCATATTTTACAACCCAGATGAAAAACACAATATTGATTCTATTAATTATGATCGTGGGACACAAAGCTATATGAATCCATGCGGTGTGATGATGGGACGAGATCTTGCGCACGTTCACAGGCGCAGGGAGTCTGATTTCAGATCATATTTCACCACAGTAAAGACAGAAATAAGAAATTCTGAATGAAGAAAGAAAAAAATTAAATGGTTTTAAATGGTATTTTTAGAGAATTTTTATTTATATCACTGTGGGGAAAAAAAAAAAGTAAAATTAATTTTTATAATTTTTTTTATTACCTTTTATTGCTAAGTTGTCCTCAAAATTTTTGGTTTAGCTAGTTTTAAAAGGGGAACAAATCCATTTTTGTAAAAAAAGGATGTAGGACAGATATTTTTATAGTCCCTCTGAATAAAATAAAATTAAAATAAAATAAAATAAAATAAAATAAAATAAAATAAAATAAAATGATTAATGACATTTTAATCATTTTAATATATTGTGTCTATGCATAACAGGCCCATAAAAATTTCGAAACCACTGATTAGTTTCTGTGCAGAATAAACTGCAGAATATCCATAGATGTTGATTATAAATAAAGAACGTAGGGTAAGCGCGCCACCTTGTGGACGTAGCGAGTTACAGTGCAAGTCCAGTGACAAGAAACATGGCTCGCAAAAGCGTGTCAAGTAAACACATTCGTAAATTAACTTGATCTTTGGACCGTCCATAAGTACAATTCGTACAATTTAAATAGACAAAACAACAAAACGATATCCTTGCATTCATAGCCACTGTTCGAGACATGCTCTAAAAAGATATTCGGCAGTCTTCAAAAGCCACGTGATATAGGCTACACGAATAAATGACTAATTACAATATAAAGGAATATATTCTTAAAAAATAATAGTAATAATAATAAGGCCTAAGTCATCATCAGGTTATATGAACTATGTCTGTCCTTAACTGTGTTTGACACTAACATAGTGGTCTTTGAATCTCCACTTAAGACGCAGCCAACATTCAGCTGATATATAGCAAATACAAAAATAAAATAAAATGATTAATGACATTTTAATACGTTTTTTTATTTTATATATTTTGTAAAGCCTATTTTTATTATTGTAAAAAATATTATTATTATTATTATTGTTTTAATGTTATTGCACTTTTTTTTGCACTTTTTATCCTTCAAATGTCTATTTGAGCTTAGTTTAATTTTGTGTAAAAGTATTTTATAGAAATACTATGCAGTCATTTGTATTCATTTACTAATATTCATGATACAAACACACACAAAAACAAACAAACAAACAAACAATAAATAAATAAAGCATGACTTAATATTGACATTTTTGTATAAAGGTGTGTCTATTAGAAACCTTTTATTTTTATTATTTTGCATTGTCATAGTGTTTTCCCCCCTAATTTGTATTACTGTGGAAGAAAATAAAATAAAAGTTTTATTTAAAACCAGCACAAATTAAATTTACTACCACATTTAAATTTTAAATATAATTGAAATATACATTTACTTCATAAATAAAATAATATTATTATCAATAACACACACTCACTCACGCACACACACACACACACTCAC